AAGGACATAAACAATTACACTCTTTAGCTTTGAAATTGAACCTGTTGAATCTTTAACTTTAAGCTGATATTTTGCATATTTGCTTTTTTTTGTGTAGCATGTGTTGCATTCCACAACGATTTGGAGAGTGAACAAGTTTTTAATAGTTAGTGATTGCCCTTTCCCATTTTACTTTCAAGTAATCGTGTCTCACTCTGTGTTTACTGTTGTGATTATTTGTGTACAGTCATCAAATAATGAAATAAATGCAAGAGTTTAATTTCCTCTCTCTTCGTTGGCAGGCTGATCTACTACTTGGACCCCTCTGTGCTTACTGGTCTGTCCTGCAGTGTCATGATCCTGTGCTTGGCTGATTACCTGGTGCCCACTCTTGCCCCCCGTGTCTTTGGTTCTAACAAATGGTGAGTGAATAGACAACAAGCCACACTCTTGACCACAGGCTCTCATCTCAATCTCTTCATCTAAGAGAAAGGTTTATATCAAATAACGCGCTTCTCTATAGAACTCAAGTGTTTATTTCTCCATGTAATAAACGGCAAAAACTTAAGATCCCCTGAGAACAACGCATGCAGGTATTTGCACAGCATGTGTGTTCTTTCATCTTCTGATTCCATTTTAGTCTGTCTGGCAACTTCCCATGCTCTAGTTCTGGACCCTGGGTCTCTGGTGTCTTTGATTGACAAGTTGCAGTTGCTGCCGAGTATCCCGTGTCAGGCAGTGTTGGTTTGACTCAGCAGATCTTCACTGTGCTGATCCCGCCTGTTCTCTCTGCAGTGAGAGGTCTTGCAATGCGAGATCAGAGCCCTGGTGTTTATTTTAGTGTCTGGCAGCTTCCTGTGGCTCTAAGCTTTAAGCCTTCAATATGGTCATGTTTATGCCCAGAACAAAAATGCATTGGCAAGGCAGAAATAGAAGCAGATTTCCCCCGCGTGTATTACCTATAAAGACGCGTTCATTGAAGAATTACGATATAGTTTATCATGTGTATATATATATATTTTTTTTTTTTCTGCACAGGACCACAGAACAACAGCAGCGTTTCCATGAGATCTGTGGGAACCTTGTGAAAACTCAGCGCCGTGTGCTTGGCTGGTGGAAACGTCTGTTTGCCCTGAAGGAAGAAAAGCCAAAAATGGTTCGCTCCTTTGAATTGTTGAACAACATCTTCCTTGTTTCATGTTTAAGAACTCACTAGTGACTCATGAGCATTTCACACTGTCAACTGCCATTTCACACCACTAATTTGGCTTTCACCCTGTTACCCAGCAGTAAGAACAAACAAACATGAGCCTGAGTGCATGGCTCTACCCATACATAATTAAAGAGCACTTGGTGCCGTAAAACATATTTATGGGCTACAGTCAATATTTAGTGTTATTGTGTCATGCAAGTACAACAGACATTTGCACAAGCATGCATTAGTAATGATTATGGAAGTCAGAAACATAAATACAAGCACAATATATTTCTTAACAAATGAACAGTTCTTGAGCATTCAAATATGTATATTTGGGGTCAGTAAGAGTTTTTCTGGGGGAAGGGATTAATACATTTTTAGTTTGCTGTTTTTACTCTATATTTGTGCAAATAAGTGCAGCATTGGTGACCATAAAAGATTTCTCTCAGAAACCTTAACTACAGCTTACATTTAATATTATACAAATGTATTGATTGGATGTCAGATGTTGCTCACACAAGTTGTTAGTGTAATATTGTTTTAATTTCTTCAGAAAATAGGCTCCTTCTCAGTGTACTCCATGTAACACATTTGTTCTACTTCTCTACAGTATTTTCTCTCTGTGATCAGCAGTCTTGTGGCTGTGGCCTGGATCGGACAACAAGTGCATAACCTCTTTCTTACTTACCTGATCGGTACGTATTGTCTTAATCTGGGCTAAAAATTGAGCAAACTGCACAGATGCAATCCCCTGTGTTGAAAGGCTGTTGTTTTACATTAGAGCAATGCACTGTGAAACATCAGCCTGTAAACTGTAGAGAAGTCACGGCCCTTTATCAAAGCCTAGCTCATGCAAATACGACAAAGAGGCCATTGTATTTAGGTCACGGAAAGCCAAAGTTCCAATCCAAAAATATGCTGCCTCGCTCTTACAAGATTTGTTCAATCTTTTTGTAACAATTAGGTGAAATGTTCTTATTTTTCATTTTGTTATAAAAGTGTTACTCTTTATGAAATAAATAGTACTATATACAGGGTTGCACATTACTTTTTTGGGGGGGCCTGGTTCTCAAGGGAGACGGACCGAATTTACTAACACACATCCAGTTTCTTCCTCAACTGTTCATTTATGACATAACCAAGAGAATACTTGAGGAGATGGGTATTTCGACATAATTTTGTGTGTCGTTCAAGCGCAAGTAAACAAGAAAGAGAAATAATTTTGGCGTTTCAGCGCTAGGGGTGCAGTGCTAATTTTATTTCACAATATAGTTATTTATGTATGTAGTTATTGAAAAATGTTATATGGAACTATTCTATTCTTAATAAATTAGTTACTTCCTTTCAATGCGCGCATCTTTTGCATCAGTAAAATGCCATTGGTTAATTTGAATGTCAAGTTGTAATCACGTATCGAATCAAAGGAAGATTTTATCAGCTGGTTTAGTGGCCAATTGTATGGAATTTGGCCAGTTGGAGAAATATATAACTCGTGCTGCATATTTAGTAATATTTCCTACATACAGGATTATACATTCGCTTTAACAAGCAGTTCATTACCACAGAAACCGCTTGCGTGTCATGCTGAATGCAATTTCGTGTTCAAAAAAGACCTATACATTAGAGAAGGAAAGATGCAGATAACTATACATTATTTAAGGTTATTTCTATTCGTTACGATATTGATATATGAACTGTTGTTGTCAAGTAAGCCTCATGCTTTCACCCTTGCGAGTGTGCGCTTCTCTAAACTGTAGCCTATGGGTGCTGCACTGCTCTAGATGACTGCAGCGCCTTTTGCCCTAAAAATATCACGTTAACGACAACCCTTTAGAAAACGTAATTCCTTAGTGGATCCTCTTGATCTGCTTTCTTCATATTTCATTTGACAAATATCTTGGGAGTTAACCACTCCCACTTATTTACATGTTGCGGTATACATGTAATAAAAAAATGTGTTACGGTTGACATTTTCTACCACGGTAACGATATATACCGACATACCGCCCAGCCGTATTCAGCGCTGTCTGAAACCTGCCTTTTTCTATCTCTCTCTCTCTCTCTTAATTAAAAATTCTCTCTGTTGGTTATACTTAGCAGTTAATCCAAGAATCACATGCATGCCGAACCATGGGGCCTGATCCGTATGGATCAACTGAGATCCGTTGCACCCCTAATAATTAATGAACGCGCTTAGCATCATGATTCCTATCTTACCAGAGATGGAGAAAAATCATACTCCAAATCATTCCCTCCATGTTTTCTACTGCACATTGGTCATTTTTACTGCACCTGTTATGTGCAGTGTGCACCCCTGATCAGATGGTATATACAGTTCTATACTAAACTGTATATATGAAGCATGTCATTTACTATTATTAGTATATGACATACTACTCCAAATTTCATAATCCAGAAGATAACATTTTCATTTTGAAATGTCTTTGGCACAGATGACTGGTGTAGACTGCTTTAGTCTTTCACAGGGCCATCCTATTAGTGATTGTACACTCTTTTCTTTTTTGTATCAACAGTGAGTTTCCTTCTGCTTTTGCCTGGCCTCAACCAGCATGGCATCATCACCAAGTATGCTGGCATGGTGAAGAGAGAGATCAACAAACTTCTCAAGCAGAAAGAGAAGAAGAATGAGTGAAAGAAAAGGCTCAAGTAAAATTAAATTCTGACAAATTTAAGAGTCAAACATGGTCCTCTCCCCCCATGCTTACAGTCAAATCTCTGAAGACCAATGTGAAGCTTTTGCAGATACTGAGCTGATAGTGAAAAGTAACATCTAGTAAACAGCTTAAATCTATGCTGAAATCTCTCGAGGTTCATACGAGGTTTTCCGTTTTTAGGTCTAATTTCAAATTATACTTTTTTTTTTTGCCATCAGAAGTATATATATTTTTTCCAACACTGAAATTTTCATTGTCTCACATCTGATTTTTTTTGCATGTCATAGTAAATGTTAGGTCTGTGTAAAATATAAATATCGCTTAATTTCTTCCAATCAGTGGAGCAACCACCGAAGATTTACTTCAACCAATTAGATGCACAGAACGCATCATCAGAAGTCTTGAAATGTAGCCTTTTCTTCTTTGGATTGGCTTGGAAACATACATTTCTGCACTGTTCTGAAACTTGCACTGGAAAACAGAACTGGAGTATTTGTGTAGGGGATTTTAGACCCTTACTGCTGTACTAGTGCTGTGTGGACCTCATTACTGTCCTCTAGCACTAGCCACTTCCTAATCCAACACCTGTTTCTGGGCTGTGTGTGTGTGTATATATATATATAAATATATATGTTCATTTTTTCTTTGTATTTCTTTGGCTTGTTTTAAGTTTGTCTTCTCTATTTGTTCTTTTAATTGTCATTTTGTGTTTGAGTGTGTTCATCACAACAATAAACTTATTCAAATCTCATTTTGTTTCTCAGATCAGTCTTTTTCTAAACTAAAACTATTAAAATCATTTTTAGTAATTGGGGGGAAAAAACTGAAGTAAAATGTAAAGATTTGATGGAAAAATAAACTAAAATAAGTTCTTGGTACTGAAATTATAAAGCTAACATAAAGGGAGAAACAAAAGTGGCAAAAGCACATTAAAATTACTTAATGCATTCTATTCTACATAAATAAGCCCAGATATGATAGAATATAAATACACCATACAAATATTTTCTCACCCTCATTGTTTTAAACGTGTTATTGTTCTCCACTGTCTCATATCAGGAAAGTTCTGATCCTTTCTTATTTATGTGAAGCTGCTTGAAACAATTTCTATTCTATAAATAAAGCGCTATAAAAAAATAAAAGGTGACTTGACAATGACGTGTCCAATTTTGAGAATTTATTGTGTTGTTACTTTAGCTGAGAGATTCAGTACAAACGCAAAGAGTTGTGATGTGTCTCCCAGCGCCGCGCTGCCCACAGAATGCTCTCCCCAGACTGTCTTCTGGGCCGCACAGGCCTCGCTGCAGCCTTCTCCTCTCCTGATGCCCAAAAAAATAGCACTATGGCTCTTTGCATGATCATTTATGAGAGTCACTTGCATATTGCAGTACACAAACATCTACTTCTGTGAAAATGAGTTTTGCTAAAAGCCCCTTTGTGTGCATATGCAGACTAAAGTAGCCTACCTGTGATAATATTATGCCTGTGCCAGGAGACATGTTGTCCGCTTGATTCATTTGTTTGATGTCTGCTGGAAGTGGAGCAGTGCACTGTTTGATATGTGGTCTGGTACAGTGTGGCCTCAGTGGGGTTGGTGACCTCCTTCATCACAAAACCATCACGGTTCTGTGCCCTGTTCTGTACCCCCACTCTGTGTAGGACATGATGCTGTACACATACAAGAGTCACGACACAGCACATTGTGCGGTTGAACAATGTGTTTTTAAGCAGATACTTAAAGCTTTTACATACTCAGTAGGTTCAATATTGTCATATACCCTAAAGATTCACTACAAATAGACAAATTCACTGTCTGATTAAACACTTTCGTCTTACTGGTATGATGTTCTTTGGGCCATGTATATCTCTGGAGTGTGTCTGTGCTTGTGTCACACCCATGTTACTGAGGTCACTTCTATTATGCTGAGAGGGATAACGTGAATCTCGGGGGAGAAAGACCAGTTCTTGGCCGTTGTGTCCTCTCCCTGAAAAACTCTTAGAAAAAGAACGGAACTTGTCACGGTGTCACCAACATTATTCATTTAGATTAAATTTCCAGGTGGCTTTATTGTGAAGGGAAAAAGAGTCTCATGAGAGCAATTTTCTGTCATCCGTCTCCAACTAAGACCACATGTATCTCTGCAGACTTGTATGAATAAAACTCACTTCACGAGTTTACACATAATTTGGATAGCTCGGAATTTGGCTCAAATGGCTTTAATTGGCACTGTTGTCTCCATGAAAACCAATTAAGTACAATAATAATTAATAATAATAATACAATATTCAATTACATATGCACTCATACTGTGCTCTTACCTCTGCGTGTGTTGTAGAATAAATTGATTTATTCTGATCGCCAAGAGTCAGTGTGCTTTGATGCATTGGCCGCTTGCACATTCCATATAAGTTACGTGCGGTGAGATGGGACTCTCTTTGTTTAAACTCATCTGATGAATTTCAAAGACACCACTGCATTTAAAGTTATCTTGATCAGTGATGACACGACTTGATAAAATCTGAAAAGCACGGGATGATACTGATCCGGCGTTCCGACTCTATTTTGATTCTCACAGATAGATTAGTTGTTGATTATTTCACAACGGGCGCTAAATCGCTAATGGCAACGTCCAAACAAAATAACTTTATTCTGAAATGGACACCAACCAGTTTGTTTCTCACTTTTTATTTTGCAGGTTCTTACCTTATTCGCATTTTTGACAAAAATCATCTTTACAGTAACATCGCACACACTTGAGATATGCACAGCTCCACGCAAGACTCTTCTTTTCTTTCGTTTAACAGTGGCACGCAACCATAGCAGGCAACCCATAAATAGCACGTTACCTCCACTGTTAGCATGGACCAGACACGCTATTTCATTCTATTTTTTTTATTACAGAACATTAAGCAGTTACAAACACCATGAGTAATTAAAATATGTTACATGCCAAGAGTATGAGTAGGCCTAATCATACTTTGTACATACATTACATTGCTTTATATTTATTTGATAAAAGAAGAAACACCAAAAGAAAAAAAAATAATAATTAAAATTGTGTTTGTTTTGGTTTCTTACATGCTTTAGAATATCACTTTAATGCATAATATTCTTTTCGATACAGTTGGGTCTTTTAATTTGAATGGTTGAATCACCACAATGGATGATGACTGCAATACATGCAGGTGAACGGTAGATGGCGGTAATGCGTCTGTCTGTGGACAACAGCATCCGGAAATACAAACAGAGCCGATTTCGGCTGTTGCCCTGTGCGACTGGTGGAATTGAGTGAAGCAGTAACATATTCTGATAAAAAAAATGCCCGTTTGTTCAGCTTATAATTGCAAGAAACGCTCCGATGGATCGTATAAAGAGGCATACAAAAGGGGCGATTTTTCTTTTCACACGTAAGTTTTATTGCAAGTTCCAAGTCAACCTCAGATGGAAAGTCTACTAATCAAAATATACACACGCATATTACAATTGTGTAGTTTCTAATCAGACATCCCACAGTTCTGACAATGTATTGTAAGGATAACCATCTTACGGGACTGTTGTCACCACAACGTTGGCGTGTGTATTACATTTTTAAGGGAATAGTGAAACGTTATTCTAGTGACTCGAATCTTTTTCGAAGGTGGGGATAGTATATTTTGTTTAATTCAGAGCTGAAAAATATTGAGTCAAGATCAGAACAGACAAGGTTCTGCAAGAAGGAAAGTGGGAATCTTAGAAGTAATGTTAACCCTACACGGTAGGTGGCAGTACTATCAGTATTCAATCTGATTCTGTCCTAAAAATCCCACTAGAAGGACAGTTTCCGGAAATACTAAATACGCTCTTTCAATTACGTCTGTAAAATGTTAATTTGAAGTTGAATAAATTCTGTCTCTGTAAAAATGCCTGTGTGTTCAGCGTATAAGTGCAAGAAACGGTCAGATAGAGAGTATAAAGAGGCATACAACAGGGGCGAGTTTTCTTTTCACAAGTAAGTTGAATATCTCATATTCGTTGTTTCAAACAACCATATAAAACGTAGCTCATATTTAAATTTACACGCACATTTATTCAAAATGTGTACAGTTTTGTCACGCATGCATTAGTCAAGTCAATTTTATTATATAAAATATATATATAGCGCTTGTACAAAACAGATTTTGTCGAAGCAGTTTTGCAGTGATAACAGAATTAAGCATTTTGGCTGCTGTTCAGTAAATTCAGTGTTTATTCAGTTCCATTAACGCTTGTGCATTTCTCTGTGTGTGTGTGTGTGTGTGTGTGTGTGTGTGTGCGTCTGTTCATTCATGTGTAAAACATGCAGATTCCCATTAGCTGATGGTTTGAGAGTGAGAGAGTGGCTCCGTCGGATGAGATGGCAGAACTGGTGGCCAACTGGAAATTCAGTCCTATGCTCGGATCATTTTGAGAAGGACTGCTTTGAACAAATGGGCAGCCACAAACGATTACGAAAAAATGCTGTCCCGACTATCTTTAATTTCCCTAAACATCTCCAGTGGAAGGCAAGTCAAAACTGTTTTTTAATGTCTTTAAATGTTGTGGTTCGTATGCATATGTGCGTATTTATTGTTTTGCTGCTACATACAGCATTTTCCTTTCATAAACTTTTTTGAACCTTTCTTTGTAAATGTTTACACTCAGGTACCAGCTGTCAAGAGACGATCTCTGGTATGTAGTAAGTAGAGGTTAGAGTAATCATAAACATGTAAAATAGCAATTAAAAAATAAATACTTACACATGTAATGAGTCCATTAGCCAACATCCAATGTGTTGTTACGTTATTAAAAATGACCTTTAATCTAAGGGAGTACTTTGGGACACCACTTGATTTCCTGTGTAAAATCTGGGTCCTCAAATCATAAATCATTTAAAGCTCTTTTTCAGGAAGTCTTTTATCTTTCATTATCATTTTTAAAACCAGAATCGTAAGCCAGTTGAAGTGCCTATCAAACCAAAACCAACCCCAGTGTCAGCGCCAGTAACACCACGGTAGGGTATTTGCAATTTATTTAATTTTTCTCAAATGAGTGATTCTCTCTAATTGTTTTACTACTTAACATCTCTCGGTCATGGTTTGGTAGGCTTCAGGGAAAGTTTGTCCGTGTGACTGTGGATTCTGATGGTTCCAGTGGCCCCTTTCATGCTGGCAGCTTTCACAATGACTACTGCAAACCGCAGGTTCATAATTGTTGATTTTTTTTTTTTTTTTTTAGGCTTCTGATTGTTTTATATGCTTATATATGCCACACAATGTGTTTTCACAGAGTTTTCAATGGATGAAGCTATCAGAGTGTGATGATGATGAGGAGGAGGAGGAGGATGATGATGATGATGACGACGACGACAATGACACTAGTGTATGTAGACCTTTACAGTCTTTCAGATTGTAAAAGTTAAAACTTAAGCCTGACAGATCTGGAAATCTCCTAAATGGTGTTTTAGCATTTATTTATTTCATTTTTTTACATGCAGGATCCTGGAAATGATGTCTCTTACGATGATACTCCTCTTGACACACCTGAAAATCCAACCACACAGTTTATCAGGGTATGCCTCTTACAGATTTGTTTTTAAATTCTCTGTTACTGTTATTTTTTTATGAAGATTTGAAAGTGTAGTCATAATATAGTATGAAAGGGAAATGTTATGCTTCCTTTCTGTGAAGGCCATGACACACCAAGCCGACGGTCGGACTGTCTTTGGGCCATCAGTGAAGGTCTGTCAGGCTGGTTTTTGTGGTGGCAGTGTGCCCGATTTAGCATCTTGTATTGGTGTCGAGGCCATCGGTGGGAGAGATCACTCTGATTGCTGTTCAGCTTAGCGAACAAGTATGAGAATAAAAGCAAAAGTGATAAAAGCGAGCCATGTCAAGATGACCTAGAAGGCTGTTCTATTTTTATGGTATCTTTCCTGAGCATTCCGATATGTAAATATTTAATAAAAAATAAAATACAATTCAGATTGTTACAGTTAATACACTTAATACAATTCAGATTGTTTCAAAGCAGCTTTACAGTGATAACAGAAAAATGATTGTTCAGCTGAAGTCAGTTCAGTGTTGATTCACTCCATTGTAAGGATCATCAGTTATTAGTTCATTTCATCTGTAAAGCAGCCAGTTCTGCAGAAAACAGTGATGTTCAGTTCTCATCTGATAGTATCAGTGCAGTCAAATCAATAATATTGCTGAATATTAAGTGTGCCAAACGAATCAAGCTGGAGGAGACAGTGGCAAGGAACCTAAACTCCAGGTTTAGGTACCTAAAACAGGCTCAGTCTGGGGTCAATTCTCCTCTGGCCATGAATGAACACTGTGATCGTAAAGTGATCAGCTAGTAATCCGCATGATTCATATTCAAAACGGCAAGTAAGTGCTGCTTAGTTAGTATATCTGTTGTTGACAGTCACCTTTAGTCCTTTCATGTGTTCAAACGCAGCTTTTTGTCCCAAACGAAGCTGACGCAAGGTGACAACACAGTCAGCTTTCGTCGCCGCTAGTTGTTTAATGTCATCTTGGTGTGTCACGGCCTTAAAATCATTTGACGCCTGGTCTTCTATTACCTTAATGTCTGTATTTTTCAGGTGACTGAGAGATGGCAATGGCTGAGTATAGATATAACAGGGCCATTTCAAGAAAGCAAAGGTGCCTATAGCCACATTGTGGTCATCTGTGACTATTACACCAAGTGGATTGAGATCTTTCCATCGGAAAAGCCTAATTCGGATTCCATTGCCCTGCTTATGTGTGATGCCATTTCCCGGTATGGTTTTCCTCTGGGATTTCTCACACCTTGGGGTGCCAGAGGGATTCAAGTCAGAACAGTAAGCCCTACATTGTGATTGGCTATTTATTTATAATTGTGAATTTTATTTTTTTTTTTGTGCTGAAAAGCTTCTAAAGTGTCTAAAAGTGCTAAACTGTATGCTCATCTTCCATTTTGCTTATTTTTGTCAAGGTTAACAGAGCCCTCAATAATATTCTGATGATAAAGGATATTTCCCTTGTCTCTCGGCATCATCAGGCTTCACAGCTTGAGCCTCACACACAATACCACATTGTCAAGTGAGTTTGGAATTGTTTGGACGTAAATCACCATGTTCCAGAGCCTGGAGTTATTTGTGGTACTGTTTGTCTACAGGATGGTAGAAAATCTTGTGAAGAAGCATCCAGAAAGTTGGCACGTTCATTTGCCTGTCAGCGTGCTGCGCTTCAACTGCAGTGTGCACCCAGACACCAAACACAGACCTCTGACTCTTCATCGCAGTGCGGGAACTAAACCTTATACATCGCCCAGAGATCAGCCAGTATGTATTGTATTTCCTGAAATGTTACTGTGACACACTGGTAGCCCAAATCCAATTGATTATTGTTTATGATAATGATTATGTCAAGAATAATGGGCTATTTTATGCTGTGTCCGAAATCTCCACTCAAACCACTGCTCCCTAACCCCTATGTAGGGAGCAGAGCACTATATAGTAAGCTCACCAGCATAATAGAAACACCACTTTCGGACACTACTCGATCGTCTCTCGGCGCCGTTGATTACGTCATTGTTGTCGCCCATCAGTCTTTTTTTACGATCAGCGCAATGCATGATGGTATGTAGGGCTTGGGGTAGTGACCATCGGTTGTACACCACTATTCAAAATGCATTCTGGGATACATTGAGTGGACTATATAAGGTATAATAATCATCACTATAGATTCGGACTGCACTACAAAATGGCGAGCTCACTATATAGTCCACTATAGTGAGTAGTGGGAGATTTTGAACACAGCCTCAGTTTAAACATGGACAAATGCGGTGGTTAGTAAAGTTTCGTTTTGTGATTCTACACATGTATGCACTACTAAAAAATAGATCTACACCATTAAAAAAAAAATATAAGAAGTGTCTTGTGCTTAAATAAAGTACAAAACGTAACATTGAGAAATATTATTATCTAAAAATAAGTGTTTTATGTTTCATCGTATTTGAAAATAGAATTTTTTTTTTTTCTGTTATGACAAAGCTGAAGTTTCAGCTTCATTACTTCAGTGTCACAGGACCCTTCAGAAATCATTTTAATATGCTTATTTTGTTTGAGAAATGCAGAATTTTGCTTAAGAAATGTTTCTTGAGCTGCAAAATAAGCATATTGGAATTGATTTCTGAAGAGTTTTCAACATTAATAGTAATATTTCTGTAGAAACCATGATATTGTTTCAAGTTCAAAAGAACAGCAATTATTTGAAGTCATTATACATGTGTTTACTGCCACCTTTGATCAATTTCATGTATCCTTGCTGAATAAAAGTATTAATTTATTTCTAAACAAATTCTACTGACCTCAAACTTTCAATTGGTATTGTATACATAAAGTATATTATTCAATATGATTTGTATTTTGTTTTTCAATCAAGCTCAGTGAAGATGACCTTGCAAAGTACACTTTCAAAATACAGAAACCAAACCCTTTGAAAGAAATTGAGGCACTGAAACAAATATTCCGTGAGTATGATCACCTCCAAATTTCTATCAGTTTAACTTTCCTTCACATCTGTGCTCATTACCATTTAACTTTTGTCAACACAGGAGAATCGGCAGACTGCATTGTCGTTTCATAAGGCAAAAAACATAGTAAGTATGAATTAACCATAGTGCTTTGTTTGTTTTCTGAATTTTGATCTTGTCATTAAATTTTATACATTTGAAAAAATGCACTACTATTGCACATTCATCTGTTTTATTTTGTTTCCTCTGTTGCTAGTGTGCCTGATATTGTTACTGGTGATGTGTGACTTCAAACTGAAAGTCATGTGTGGAAGTTCCGTACAGACCTCATTGATGAAGGGATTGAAAATAATGACGTTAAAGTCCATTTAGACCCCGACTGAGGTGTTGTTTATTTCTGTGTGTGTTGTTTTTCATATTGAAATGTTATGCAGCATTGTGAATAAATACTGTTAGATATATTTAAGAGAATAGTATTCACTGTAAAATAAACTGTTTTGAAAGGAGTTGAGTCTGATTCCACCAGACTGAGCCAGTAAAAGATAATCTAATGTTAATAACCAACAGGTATGTTTATCAAGATGCCATTATAAACTGATGATGCCACAAATATTCCTGTGAGTTGCAGGCAATCCTAAAGGATTTTGTGGGGGCCCAAAATGAAGTGTGCTTGATTATTTTTTTAAGTAAATCTTTTTATAATGTTGACTCAACAGTTAATTCCAGTAATGTCTTATTCAGAATAAATTGTTTATACTTATTTTGATGTCTGTCATTGTTTATTTCATGTCTATTTGTAATTCCAAGCCGCATAGTTCCAAATACTTTCTAGAATGTACACTAAATATCGAAAAGATGATATCCTATTATTCTAATGAACACATTTGACAATTCCAGTAATCCCAATAAAAACAAATGGCATTGCTACATCACACATTTCATTCTAAAGCACGAATAGTATGCATTAAGATTTATCATCACTGGAATAGCCAAAAACTGTACTCTAAATAGTTGGAAAATGTAAATGGATTGTGCCTAAGCAACAAGTGTTAGTTAGAAATAAATGTAATGAGTTATGTGAGGCCACTAGAGCGCGACCGTCTCCGGGACAGAAAAGAGTTCACGCTGCTCGCGCAAAGACATCTGGGATTGTGGAGGTCTGGCTCGGGCGCTTTGATTTCCGCAGTGCAGCGTGGGATAGTGGAAGAAGTCAGCGAAACAGCCGTAGAGAAATGGTGAGTGAGCAAGCAAATACAACCTAGATCAAATGTAGGTATTAGTTTTGTCGTTTGAAAAACGTAGCTATCGATGTTTTAATCAAACTATCTGCTGGATGAAGTGGCTAGGTTGTGTAAAGGTAGCCTTTTCACAGACCTCTTTGTTTCGCAATATTTTTAGCAGCCCGGCTAACGTTCCCTGCTAAATCCGCCCGATTTATTGTGTAACTTGGTTGTTTGACAGTAAATTGCGCTCGATGTCGGACATGGTCAGTCAATATGGAGAATCAATGTACAATCAGTTTAGTATTGTTTATTTGTATGAGCGCTGCGCAGTCCTTGTGGCCGAAACGGGGCTGTTAACGTTAGTTAATCGCGGTGTTGATTTCGTGACAGCTCGAAATGTACTAGGGACGGGCTGGTCCTGTCATTGATAATTCTGGGCTGTTGCTTTCAGATGGTCATCTAGAGATTTAATCTAGCCACACATACTTAAATTAATGAATAGTTTAAGGTTTTTCGAGAGCTAATTGGTTGCTTTATGGTTCTACCCTGCCGTCGTTACTAGCTCCAGTTTGCACGTCCATTTTTAAAAGATAACTTGCGCTAGCCTGGCGTCAGCTGAATAGATACTTTGTTCAGCCGCTTCAACGTTAGTCTCACCGATAATTCAGCTCTCCACAATGTTGGTTAGGTAAACAAATCGCACGACAACGCGCTACATTTCCTAGGTGTTGCCAGGCCAGTAACCAAGTCAACAACAACGTAACACAACTGCAGCTGTCGGCGTTGCATTGGTGTAGTTGACATGTTTCAGCTGTTCACCATCTGCTTTTCTTTTCATTATTTCATTTGAAAGCCAGTGGTTGTACATTGCAAACACCGCTTTAGGCATAAGATATGACGTTAAGTTGGTTGTTTGTTGTTATGTACCCGTTTCGATGTACAGGATTATTTTCCTAAAATAGTTGACGGTTCCCTATGTTTGGTGAAGCCAGGACAAGGAATGCTCCGTAAGATTTGAGCCATGAGTGAACACAGTATAGAATCACATCTGTAAGATAAGTTGTAATAATGAGATGGGATTAAAGGTTGCTTACTTTTCTCTTCAGGATGTCTTTTTGATGATCAGACGTCACAAGACAACCATCTTCACAGATGCTAAGGAGTCTACCACAGTCTACGAGCTGAAGCGGATTGTGGAGGGCATCCTAAAGCGAGCACCAGAGGATCAGAGGCTTTATAAGGTCAACAGAAAAGTTTTTAATATTATTGTTCATTGGTGTATATTTCAATGATGTTACAGCTCACTTAGTACAGTTCTTTTATTCAGCAAGGAGGCATTAAATTGATCGAAAGTGACATTAAGGACGTTTAATGATACAAAAGTTTTCTATTTCAAATAGATTGTTCTTTTGAACTTTCTATCCATCAACGAATCCTGAAAAAAATGTATCCTTGTTTCCACAAAAAAACAACAACATTGCAGCACAACTGTTTTCAACATTGATAATAATTATAAGTATTTATTGAGCATCAAATCATCATATTAAAATGATTTCTAAAGGATCATGTGACACTGAAGACTGGAGTAATGATGCTGAAAATTCAGCTTTCCCATCACAGGAATAAGTTACTTAGAAAAGAGTTGTTTTATATTGCATTAATATTTTACAATAGTGTGGTTTTAACTATTTTTTATCTAATAGCATTTTTGTTCCAAAATCATTAATAAACTTTTAGTGACCCCAAACTTGGTAGAGTGTGTAGTCAATTAATACCACAAACTATCACAGAATTGATAAAATTCATTGCTAATAATTGCTAAACCCCATTAAGCTAAATACCTCACAAATTAAAACTAATAAAAAAAACTCACAAATTAAAACAAAACAAATTAAAATTTGACCCCTGGGGTTTTATAAATGTAAGTGGCTGCTGTTGTTTTTTTTTTTTTTGTTTGTTTTTTGTTTTTTTTTTACACAAGATTAACAGAATGGAAATTGAAAGACATAAAGGTACGCTATGTAACTTTTGGAGCCTTGCAGTTAATAAACAGAAGTAGCTCCAGCTACAATGTTCTTCTGCAAGATCCACACAGTTTTACTTATGTATTTGTTGAATTACATGGGTACTGGGCTACTTCACAGTGTTTGTCGCCCCACCTGTCTAAAATAGTCCGAATATAAACACTTAATATCGGCGTACCATAGTGTTTCAGGACATAGGCGCAAATCCCAAAGGAAATGGCCAAGCACCCATGGAAAACTGAGAGATTCTCCATTCGTTTTATCCAGTCAAAAAATCATTGGTAATGTGTTTGCACTTGTTACATAGTGTACCTTTAAATTAATTTGAATTAATTTTTATTTGAATCAAATTAATTTTAGTTTTGTTTTGAACGCATCATACATTGAACATTATAGAAAAGTAAAAGCAAAGACATATCTGGCAGCATGAGGAGAAAATGGCTGTACATGAATGCAACTTTTTAAATTGCATTTAATACTTTCATACATCCATATTAAGACAGTAAAGGTGCTGCATATCAGGAATGTCAATTTATCAATGACCTCCCACAAATCAGGTATGGACTGGTTTGAGTTGAAGTGGCGCATTTTAGTAAACAATCTGTCCATGTCCCACAGGAGGACATGCTGCTTGAAGATAGTAAGACTCTTGGAGACTGTGGCTTCACAAACCAGACAGCCAGGCCTCAGGCTCCGGCCACAGTAGGGCTGGCTTTTCGCATCAGTGGTGAGTTCCTGGTGTACTTGCCCGGGGTATTTTGGTGATTCGGATTTGCTTACTGTGTCTGTTTTTTTTGTTTTTTTTTTATCACAGATGATGCTTTTGAGCCTCTAAGAATAGAGGCCTTCTCCAGCCCTCCTGAGCTTCCTGACGTTATGAAGCCTCAAGACTCGGGCAGCACCGCCAACGAACAAGCCGTGCAGTGAAGAAGGAACCGATGAGAAAAAGGGTTGGGGGTGGGTGGGGGGTAAGGCGAAGGTAAAGAGTGTCCAAAACAGCGGACAAGCAAAACGTGTGTGTATTAAGATGGTGGTGTGTATCGAGTTACATAAAGGAGGGGGAAGCATGAGTGAGAGTGATCTTGTGTGATATTGTAACTTTGCTGAGAATTTGATCCGCTCTCCCTGTTACGCCTCACGTCCCATCAAGCACTAGCAGCTTACTCTCACTGTATTGTCGCAAACCCTTCCAATATTCAGTGTCTGCTCAGTGCTCATCTACTGGTTAATCCACCAATCACGTCCCCTTTGGCGCAGGCACATTTTGATTTGGTAATGTTTTCCTTCATTTCTGAATGAATTGCTCATTTGTTAGTCACCTGACCAAGGTGGTTAGATATCAGAGTGTTTAAACCTGTGCTCCTTATTTAATTCACGCAAATGTTATGTTTGGAGAGTTAAACAATTTGTGCTTTTTTGTGTGTTATGATCTGTTAGGGCCGGGGTGGGTTTGTGTAAGTGGCTGTGAGGTTTTACAAATGCCCACTTTACTGATCGCATTTACAGTACGCTGTTGTGTGTTAATGACTATTGATATTATAATTATTCTTATTTAGATCCTTCATAATTTTATTGGGGCGCTAAAGGCCTTAGGCTGTATCGTTTTACGTTACCAACTTAGTGTAAATGCACATGGAACTGACTGAACCTCAGAATGGGCATGGATGCCATCAGGTTATACCTGCAGATTAATTCCCAGCACATGGTTATGGTGAATTCTGACATACAGTGGTTTCATTGTAAATACATTTTTCCACATGCATTGTTGCTTCTTGAAGTGTTTTGCATTTCTTTACAATTTTGTGTTTGAGTTAGTATCTGCTTGTTTCTTTTTGAGGTTTTGTTTGGAAGCTTAAGTATTGACGTTTAATTCCCTGATTTTGAATTTAAATCAAAGGGGAGTGTAAATGCTAGTGAGCTTTTTTTTCTTTTGTGTGTGTGTGGAATTTTAATTGGAAAGAATCAACTAAAATGTAAAGATCAATAAGAATGAAGCCTTTGGGCATAGTTGCTTGAACAAGTGAATGTTTTAAATTTAACACAAATGCTGACATTGTGTTCATCCCAAAAAACAGACGCTCCTAATGTTTTTGCGAAGTCACCTTTATCCTTCTCAGTGCTCTTGCAAAAAAAAAAAAAAAAAAAAAAAAATAGAAACTGAAACTGAAAAGAAAATTATGCTGCAGTATCTGTAACTGCGTTTAAATGAATTAAAATGAATCAGCCCTTTTCCACTCATTGTTTAATGTTCAATGTCTACTTATTAATAGTATTGTTTTTTCCCAATATAACCAGTTGAGGAACAAAAGGCATAAAATAGTAAATGACATTAAAAAATGGAAATTGAAACCAAATAATGTATTCATTGCTTTTGTGTTTTCAGATACAAAAGCGTTTTAAAGTACTGTTGAAATATGTTAAGAAATGACGGGAGAATTTTCCTTTATGTATGTGAAACTTATCCGAAAGATGTCATACAAATACTAAACTCTTAAAATGCCTTTATATGAAAAAATTAAACCAAATAACGCCTATTTCAAAAATGAAGACAACGAAAAGTTCATTTACACAAACGTCCATAAAGACCGATAAATACTTATGTATAATGGCTCGGTTCCAGTGCAGAGCCATGTAGTGGCTTTCGGAATCTGATTCTTAATGATAGTGATATCTTAATCCTTAATGATATAGTATTTTAAATGTACGGATGACTTGCCTAACTTGGTTGTGTGGTAATTTTATCAAAAAGCATACGGAAAAGTGGTTTATATTAAGTTACATGTGTATTAAATATTCAGCTGATAGATTCGTATTTATTATATTTAAATTATAGGTTGACGTTACCCGTTTTTAAACCAGTTGATGCATGGAATTCTAATAAACATGTTTCTTAACAAGAACCAAAAATGCTGTTCTCATAAATAGAAGAGCAACATAATTTTAATTCGTTTAAGTGATGTCAGAGACCACGTTTGCGTCATGAGAGAAATGGATAGAATCGTTGATCACCAGTGTCAAATTCAGAATTTTGTTTTATGAACGTAACGTTAGCTCAGACAAGAACAAGTTAAAAGGGAAAAAATATGCTTAAAGGGAAATCAAGTAGGACCAAACATCATTGATTCTGCGCATGCGCAGTGTATCCACCTCTTTATCAACAACGGAAGCTAATGGATACAGGGTCGTCTGTTAGAGACCTTTCTATTCAAATATCTTCCACGTGTTTTGGTTTCAGGTTGTAATTGATCTCATTCTTACAACTAAGTAATTTAGGTTTTAATAATTTCAAAGTCGAATCTCTCTGTTAACTGAATCGTAGCTATCCACCACTTCAGTTAGTAACTTTATGCTGCACAGTGAAGTTAGCGCGCTAGTATCTACTTGCATATCTAACAGGCTGTAGTTTACCGTACCCTTATAATTCCTTAAACTGAGATATTTACTCCGGTTAACTTACTCAATTGAATCTGTTGCAACAGCAACGTTTAAAAGACACATTTATTTGGCGTAGGATAGCTTTGACCGAAATCATCCGTTTTCTCCTACATTAATTCGATTAAAACTTGCATCCAGATGGAGGTTCGTAAAAAGAAGGTCGCAGCCGCAGGACGGGTGATAATGGACGTCATCCAGGCTGAGTGGGAGCCACTGTCTCACTGGGAGCTTGATCAGCGACTAGACCGCGCAGTGGAAGAAATGATAGAGGCTGACCTGGTGGCCCAGGTTCAGGAGCAGGCAGCCTCTGTGACCATGCAAGCCTCTCAACAGGAGGATTCAACAACTCTAGATCAGGCGCAAACAGAGACTCCTCCTCGGCTGTCAGAGTCTGTTTGCCCATTGCAACGTTCACATGTTACTGAAGCCATGGAGGCAAATCCTGCCGTACAGGTAGGTCGAGTGTCTCATGCACTTTACATCATATTGTATCACAGCAATTGTAATGTTTAATTACAATCAGTGGTTCCCAACCAGGGGGTCTCAGCAACTTTCAAGGAGGCGTCAAGATGACTTGACTTGAGGGATAAAAAATAAGCCAACTAGATAAAAAAGGATACAAATAACTAAAATCAACATATTTCTTATTTTATTTTGTTTCATTGAAGAACCATGATTCCTGTGGCTTCCTAAACCTGAAGATGGTAGCCTAATTGGAAAGACCTGGAAACGTATTTTGTTTTTTAACAATAATATTTTTTTTTTTTCAAGCTCTAAAATATTTTATTGGGTAGAATTGTGAGTTAAAACAATTGAATATCATTAATCTTTATCCTGTAAATCATGAACAACTGTAAAAATCATGTGGCCTTGGAATTTAAAAAAAAAGTTTAAAACGTCTGCTTTACATATTATGTTGTCTTGTTATTTCTTGCAGTATGTAACACATTTTCTGCAAAGCTCGAACAAGACCTACAGCAAGAACCGATTGTCTGGAAGAGCTCGACTGTCCCTGTCTCATACTGTCCTCCTGTCCCTCACTCTCCTGTCCAAACGCATCAGCTATCGCAGTGTGTCCTCTAGTTTTCACCTAGAGAAGGGAAATATCCACAGGATCTTCTTTTCATTCTGTGATCAAGTCATTGCACAAAAGGATCGGCTCATTCAGTGGCCTACAGGTATGAGTTAATAAGAGTTTGTTAATAAGCTGTTTTCATGGTATGAACAGGGTAAAACCTGTTTTAAAAAAAGATACATGAATAGTAAATAATTTTTTTAAAATAACATAAAGAAGGATAACATTGATTTAGATTTTTTAGGGTAGTTCACACAGTTGCTTTTTAGTTAAATGAAAATACACATAATACCGCCCAGAAGCATTAATTCATCATAGTCATCATGAACATTGTAGAAAAGTACAAATATAAACAGACAAAGTATATAATATATGGGATTAGTATATAAATCTGGATTATGATGATGATGTAGAAGTGAAATATATACTGGCTGGGGTGGAAAAGCATTAATCGGCCAAATCCTTCCAGTTGAGCAAGATTTGTTGTCAATGTGAGAAAAGCGATAATATCAATATTTCAGGATCAGCAGGTTTACTCATTGTACAGCTGTTTTCTGCTTCCCCATGTAGGACAGGAGGCCCTACAGCATCTGCTTCCTTTCTCCAGCTGGCTGGGTCACAATGAGGGTCTGGAAGAGAGAGGTCTTCCTCAAGTCCTCGGGGTGCTGGGTGACACACGCATCCCCATCCGCCTTCCCGCTGGCAAACCGGACAGCGAGAGTGAGGCTCCGGAAGCCAAGAGACTTAAGAACGAACCACATCCAGATTCATGGCTTAACTTGGAACTGGTCTGCAATGACAAGGGCCGCTTCATTTACTGCCACATCAGCAAAGGCTCAGAAAAAGGCAGAGGGAGTGCTTTAGCTGAAAGGCTTCAGCAACACCCCGAGATGGTGCCTCCAGGGACCTGCCTGATAGCCGGAGTTGGATACCCACTCACAGAACAAATACTTACTCCTTTTTCAGCAGGTCGAAACCCACAGGAAAACCTCTACAACAGATCTGTGGGAACCCATTTAGGCCGATTCAACCAGGTTGTGGCAGACCTTAAAGAACGATTCCAGAAATTGAGATATTTGGATATGGGGAACTATGATAGGGCAAAAGCTGTGGTTCTGACCGCTTGTATATTACACAATGTTTTTCTGGACATGGGGGATGTGACAAAGGGACTGGTAGATAAAAGCATAGCTGAAGATGTGGTGGAGGTAAACGAAGATGCTGCCGGGGTGAAAATGAGGGAGACTGTAGTGAATCTTCTTTATAGTGCATTGGAATCGGGAACACAATAAGATTTTGACCTTATTGTCAAAATGTGCATATTTAAAGGGATAGTTCATCCAAAAATTAAATCTATCATCGTTTACTCAGCTTTATTTCATTCCAAACACATTTGAAGATATTTTTAATAGTCTCTTAATTTTTGTCCATGCAACCATGCATCATATCGTTATCCTCATAGCATAATAGCATAAAAGTCTTTTTTTTTTTTTTTTTTTTTTTTTTTGCCAAATTGTGATATCTGCCTATCTTTACTGTCCTTCCACTGCTGCATCATCCTGCCTTTCTGCCAATGTCCTTAGCCAATTACAACACTTATTAGGATCCAAAAACTCTATCTGCCTTTGTCATCTCTTTGACTTGGGCAGTTTTGTTACAAACAAAATGGCAAAAAAAAAAAAAAACGTGGAAAGACAGATGTCCAGAAGTGATGTATTAGCTCTTCTGTTTGAATCATTTTCATCTGAGTTCATATTTCTTAAATATTCTAGACATTAAATGTAAATTCAGTCAATCAAAGGGATTATAAACTGTTTCACGAGTTCACACTTGCATATAATTGAGGAATAAGATTTAATGCGTATTTGGCGTGCTGTCCGGAGGGAGGGCTCCGAGCTCGAATCCAGCCCGAACCCAGAGTACTCCCCCCGTATGTAGGTGATTTTTTAGAAAGAGGAGTGTGGAGAACTAGGAGTGTGGAGGAGGGATGCTGCAAACTGTCAATGAATCGAGGTAAGACTGCTGAGTCTATTTGTACCCTCTCATCATTGATTGCTGATTGCTGTCCACTCGTGTTAATTATCTGAACATGCTCCTCCCGAACTTAGTTAATAAAACTTCATGTATTTAAACTTGAAATCACATTTTATGCTACAAGATAAGTAGTTAGCAAACACTAACTAAATATTACCTAATTTCTGGTCAGAACATCACCATAAAAATACATTTAGGTACATTTAGGCAAGTGAAGTAATTTTTCAAGCATTTACTTTTTATTTTAAGGGCAAAAAGATTTGTTTAAGAAATTAAACATTTTGACTAGACATAAGAAGTATTCAGTAAGATTTAGATTTTTTGGGGTAACACTTTACAATAAGGTTCATTGGTTAACTACATTAATTAACATTAACTAATAATGAACTGCACTTATACAGCATTTGTTCATCTTTGTTAATGTTAATTTCCGCATTTAGTAATACTTTATTAAAATCTTGTTAATATACTTTAATGCTCTGTGAACTAACATGAACAAACAATGAACAGCTTTATTTCTATTAAATAACATTTACAAAGATGAATAAATACTCTAACAAATGTATTACTCATTGCAAGTTCATGTTAATACATAATGTTTAATAAATTAGCCTTTTTGTAAAGTGTTACCTTTTTTGTGAACATATGAATTGTGTTAAAATATTCAACAGCACTTTATGTTCTGCTTTATTGCCAGAAAATGTAGTGGAGTTAGAGGATTTAGATGTGAGTAGACCTGAGAAAGAAGGTAAAGACGTAGACATGAGGCAACAGATAGAAGAGGAAACAGCCAGTTAAGCATCCAGAGCTGAATCAGATCCTGATATATTGTCAAATAGTGAAATCGATGACACTGTCTTGGATGAGGACTATAGACCTGAGAAAGATGACAGCCCAGACAATGGTAGTGATACAGAATATGTGGAATAAATCGCTCAATTCATATGGATTTTTTTTCTGGTATGTGTCTTCATAAACTTTATGAACCATCAAAGTTTTGCTTAGCTGGAATTGCAATGGAGGGATGGAAATCTCTTTATTTGTGTTTTCAACATGAACTTAAGTCTTATATGTCGTTTGGAATGACGTGAGGGTTCGTAAATGACAGAATTTTCATTTATGGGTGAACTAACCCTTTAAAGCTCTGATATAGACCTAGTTTAACAAAAAATAAACCTGTAAAATTTCATACTAGAACTCTGTAAATATGTAATTAATGGATATTTGGTGGTTTAAAAAAAGGCTTGCAGAAACATTGATAAACGCATGATGTATGACTTTTATTAAAACATAAATACAATGTGTCTTTACTTTTTTTGCATGAATCCAACAATTTAAACTGCTCTGTAAAATGTAACAATTATTGGAGGAAAGGAAAACCAAGCACACTTTTACTGAAGTTACTCTTCAATTCAAGTCAAAGTTACAACATATCAGGCATTTCTCTAAAAGTAAAAATGTAATTGTATGAAAAGATGATGACAAAAACATTACTAATTCCTATTGCTGGGTAGAAGGGGTGCCCGACGCAACACACTCTTTGGGTATTTGCATGGAATTGTTCTGGGACAGACAAGTAATGGCACGTGCCAGATTATTGATGGCCTCAATCTTCCTCTCTTCCAGAGCTTTCTGCTGCGCCCACATGTTCAGTTTCCTCTCCTGCAGCTCCAGGTACAACTGCAGCAAATCCTGAGGAGGCCTGGCATTGGGTAACTGTGATGCTGTAGCTGTGGGCGTGGGCAGAATTGGGGTAAATCGTTTGCTGGCTATGGCCTTGCCCAGTTTAGTGCCATTAAGCTTTGCCTTCCGCTGAGCCTCAACCTCCTCGTAGCTCCTTCCCAGAACTTCATGCATCTCCTTGAAGAACTCCCAGTGAACACTGCTGGTTCCCAGTCTTTTGGCTCGCTCCGCATTTTTGCGGTACGTCGCTAGCATGTTTCTCCACTTCAGGTCACATTCGAAGGCTTTGACTGAAACATCCGTGCTTTCATCGGCTCGTAGCTTTGCCGTCACCCTCTCGGCCACAGTCTCCCACAGCTTCTTCTTTTTGCACACGGGCTGGTCAAACTCTGGGTCCATGTCCAAACGAACATGGACCAGATGCCATGTAGCTTGTATTGTCCACACAAACTCTGAATAAAACAAATATATTACAGTTATTATTTCAGAACAAGAATTTAACCAAATATTTAGGATTGGAAGGAAACGTCATTTATTAAAATGAATTTATTAAATATGCAAGGTTTCGACCCAAAGGTCTTCGTCTGGCAAAAAACAAGTACACAGAAAGGTACACCAATGCTAAATTGTTCTATATATCCTAATAATTTGTTTACAACATGTGTTCTTTACTTCAATGAGCTCACTGTTTCGGTCTTAAATTAATACATTGTTAGCTAACTGCATGCTTTGTATATGTACATTTCTGAAATACATAATTTAGACAGTCACCTCTGATAACAGATCACTTTTAAATTGTAATGTAAACACATTGTAAAACTGCTTTGAACCAATATGTATTGTATCGACCTAATTAATCAACTAATTACCCAATCATCCAAAAAAAAAAAAAAGTAGAAAAAAATGTCCTGGGTTTAGATTAAGCCAAGATTAGGTTTTAGTTCAATTAGGGCATTTAAGTAGCTATTTAAACGTGCCTTAGAAAAAAAAAAAAAAGCATTACTGGTGTGCATCTTGAGACTAAACAATGGCACTGCCACAAGATATGCCAGTGCAATTTGCTTTCAATTAAAGCAGCTCAAACATGAATTTTAGTCTGGGACTAGCTTTGTCTGTGAAACTGGGGGAATAACTATAAAAGATGAGATTAAACTATAAATTAAGACCTTTGAAGAAGGAGTATTCAAAACATCTATCTGATCGAGCTCCTGCTTAGATTTCTAGATGTGTGCATAACATTATTTTGAATAATTAATGAAACATCAAAAAATGAGGATATATCACAATCAATGTTCAGTAAAAAATATCTATATATCTGTCCATCTATCTATTACATTTTATTAAATGTACCGTTATTGTATGTTGAGATTTTTATTCATATCACAAAAATAATCAATTCAAATATTACAATAAAAATATTATAGAAGATAGTTAAAAATATACCATAATAAATCTATGGTTTTGAAGGTCTGAAGACTGAAACTCTCATAAGTAAGTTAACTTAAACTTGTGTGAGGGCCAATCAGTTCCTCCATCAGGCTCATCGTGTCTTCTTCGCTGTGTCGATGCATAGACTCTGCTCACTACTTCATTGACTTACAAATCTCACCTGCTTTTGACTTTTCGCTCTCCAAAGTCGTAACCGTAGTTGTTAAATCCTCCACCTCAATGGCGTCTGTTACAATTGACTCAATGACCTCCATGTTGCATTTATTTGTATTTATATCGTCAAACGTTATGGCGACTAATCGTGGATTTTAACAACACCAGCGATGAGTTTTTTTCGAGCGTCGACAACAGCGATGATAATAACAACGACCTCGTTTGCACCAGATGGCTCTGGACAGGGTGTTGTTGTATTTTTTCCGGAAATGAACATTACGTGTGATGCAGGATTTGTGGGAAATGCATACCCATGATTGTTTTTACAAGTCTTTCGCCCGCAAGCTAGCGCTTCAAAACGAATGACATGTTTTGTTCCTTACCAAAAAACTAGTATCTGCATTTATGAATTTATACCATTTTTATTGTTCCTTTATCAGTATTATAAAAAGACATTAATCGAGATGTTTTGGAACTACAACTCCCATCTGCTTTTAAGAGGTCGAGTCTGCAAATTCCCCTCCCTTTCTGAAAAACCTTCCTGTTTGTCGCTCTGCTAAAAGATGGCGCCTGTGCAAATCTGAGGAGATTGCGCTTTGTAGCGCGTAGGAAACTTGACGTGAGTAAGATGAACAGTTAACGAAGCCTTCTCACTCTTCATCGAAACATCAAAATACACCCAAATAGATTACTCTCAGTCAGCACTGTCAATATTTTTGATTTTTTTGTGGCCTACCACCCACTGTAGGCCGTTATGAAATATATCGCACGGTTAGAAGACTTCTTTTCCCACAAGTCATTGCTTTGGTCTTGCTTTGATTGGTGAACATGGTAGTTGTAGTTTTCAAATGTTTGTTTCTCTGTGGATGAAATGTTTTGGTCATAGATATTTTTTTATTAGTTCCTGTGTTCTTTTACTTTATTTCTTTTTCTTTTTTTAATATTAGAAATGTGTTTGGCATTAATTTTGGCAATAAGCAGACTTATTAAAGCCACTAAAATATTGTACCTTAAACATTGAGAAGATTAAATAATTACTTTTCAAAAGAGGAGTGGCGGTGGGGAGGAGGTTCTGGGCTCCTGGTTCATTATGTCTACACCTTTAGAACAAGGAATTAAACGAAATTCAAAAAGTTTAAACAGCACCTCTGAG